GATACCATTAGGCAAAGCTGAACTTAAACCTACAGATCATGGCAGGAGTACTGAGACATCAGTGATACAGGAAAGCATCTATACAACATTGAAAAACATGTTGGTTGTGGGAGGAGTGGGTAGGAGTGGAGTAGAAGAAATCATTTGTCTCGGGGTAGGACACACAGGTGCTGCAGCTGATAGGTAAGCACCCAACTAGACAGTGTGTGTACTGCACCTGAGTTTGTTCATGTAAGTGACGGCGAGTGCCTCACTCATGTCATTGCCTGGCCCTATTTGGTTCATAACAGACAGACGAACATTACCTTAAAAAGGTACAAGCTGCAACAAGTTTTGGCATTTATCCAGGTAAAAACTGTCACTGACAGAGAAAGAGTCAATCAATATTGATTGTAAATAAGGTTAGCACGTTGTTAAAGCAGGCCATATAAAAGGCGTCATACGTTTTGTATGACGCCTTTTGTATGATATAACATGACAGTTTCTAAAAATGACTTGACTGATTATAAGTAGAATACAAGGTCCGTACAATAATGCTGAGTCATAAATATTCTCGGAAAACCGGTGATTTCTGGCCATATAAGGAAAGATATTGGAATTTAAGGATAAAAACACAGAAACTTCGTGAAACACCGCGTGAGTTGAGTACGAGCCAATGAGGGTACGAGCAAAAACAGGGCTCGTACTCAACCGACCAATCATCAGCACGCCCCTATGGTTTTCTGTCCGAAGGGAGTGAAGCAACCTGAGTCCAGGGTGTCATCATTCGGATTGGAAGTGGTCTGTGTGGCGGGTTTCTTCCTGTATTTATTGAAGGACTTTCTTCTCGGATATGCACTTCTGAGTAAGTTCTATGAACCAGTTGCTGAGTCTGCTAGCTTTAGCTTCCTACATTTGGGTAGTATTTGTGTAACCGGTAACAGCAAATAACCGTACAGTAGTACAGTGACACGTTAGCTCGTCTGACCTGACAGTCTGAAGCCAGCCAAGATGCCAACTTATATTCACCGGTGTCGATTTCCGTAATTGTACAAAGAAAACGTGCGCTCATTATGTGCTGTGTAAATGCTAAGTACACGCCGCATATCTGTGGTGGCAGTGGCTCTGCTCGCTGTATGACGCAGTGTTTGTGTTGAAGAGCACCGGAGAGTTTGCTGCACAGAGCTCGTATCGTATACAAGACTGTACTGGGAGTAATCGCTGCTAAATCACTTGATGTGACTCATCGGTGTCATTATAGTAGGAACTGTTACACAGATGCTGAGCGTTTTCTTGATGGTCCTTTTGTGATGTGTTGCTCGCTGATTTTGGCATTATGGATATTCACTCGGCATCACAGCAGACTGTACTTGCCAGATCTATCAAATTTAATGAGTTTGATGAGCTGGCATAAAGCACAGAGTAATGTAAGGTCCATCATTTAAACTTCCTGCTTCCCTCCCTATAGTGTTAACGGGTATAACATCTGAGTCTCAAATTACAAACCAGGCAGGTAGCCAAGAAGAAAGAGTTTAACATTGTACTACTGCCAAAAAAAAATAGGAAACGGACAAATCAGCTGTTTTAGTCATTTGGAAGACACTCTGGTTTTTCATTGTTTTGTCTCCTGAAAACCGCAGTTATTTGTATTATTTTACATGAAACCGTTTTTTCTCTTATTTCCTGCAGTCTTACACTTGTGCCCATGCTCCATTTCCACACCTCAGCTGCCAATAACCACTCAAGAGGAAGAAGATGATTTTCACAGCCCGTTCAATCCTGTCACCACAAAGATCGTGCAAAAACCTCTCGAAGTAAGTTATTTATTGTGATAGACTTAGTATTAGAGTTGTCATATGTCTGAAAGTTTTCAAAACTGTTAGTTTGAAAGTTCTTTGAGGCAGCTTTTCAAACAAATAACTTTACCCAGGAAACACTTTGTGATTTAAAGGATGTATCCCTCTGTCTTTATTGTTTCTTCAGGATGTGTCTTCAAATCTGCATATGGCTTTCTTTGGCGCTTACTTCAATAGTTGACGCTGTGGGTAAGTAGGTTTTGCTAAAAAAGTTTGTAAACTACTGTTAAATCCTCGGTTACATTAGATTGCTATAACTGAGAACAAGACTAGTTATAACTGACTGTATTAATAGGTTATAAAGTCATTTCTTCCTTCACCCTCGTATTCCTCACACCTCTCTTCTTCTCTTGCTCATTCCCTGCTATGGCTGTGGGATATTATCTGTATCGATTTAGAAAATCAACTTTTACTGCACTGCAAACAACTGCACTCAGAAAACAACTTAAATATATGAAAAAAATATGATAGTATTCCCTTAAAAGTAAATACTGGCTAGACAGTGAGCGCCCTTGGTGGAGGTTTGCGCTCTTGGAGTGCTTCTTGTTTAGTACATGCATTTCTGATGTATATTTTTATTCTTAAAGCTCTGTCTTGTTTCTTTTGTCCTTCAGACTGCAAAAACATCATATGTTCACTTGGCCAGCAGGTCATTCTGCCATGTAATGCTCCTGGAAATATGGTAGTCCTCGCCTTGCAGTGGTCCAGACGTGACCTGACAGAATACGTGCTGCACTATCGTGATGACCAACTTGATCCAGACGACCAGGATCCGTCTTATACGGGCCGGGTAAACCTGACCAATACCCACATGCAGAATGGGGATTTCTCAATGATACTGATGAACATGACGACTGCTGACATTGGAACATACGAGTGTATAGCCTTCCAGAGAAGACCAGGGATGGACTCTGAAATCCTCAGCATCGTAAACCTGAATGTCAGTCAGTCAGGTGAGTTTGTGCTCATGTCAAATGATGACACTTTAAAAGAGTTTTCACCTCCCTGACTCCTGACAATTCACACCAATGCATTTTTTTTTCTCGACAGATGAAGGAAGCAGGAATGGAGTCAGCCGTGGCGCAGCTACAGGAAGAAACCATCTTGGTCTCATTGTGTCACTGTCAGTTATTCAGGGATCATTCTGGTGGCTGGTATTCTCTTAATCTATATTAGGTGCCAAACTAACATTGGATCCTCAGCTTCCCCCCACTATGAAATGACATCAACATCTCAGCATGTCTAAATTAGAAAGACCCTCAAATTTATTCCAAACATCTAAAACTTAAAATGACAGTTAAAAGCTGAGGTGTGGCTTGTAGTGAAAAGCACAGAGAAGTTAATTAGAGTAGAATAATAGAAGCTCGGATCCATTTATCGTTTAACCTACATTAAGCAAATTCAGATTGTGGTTCGGCTCGGAACCACTTTGATTTGTGCCTTTGTCATGTGTTTTCTAATGCTGGCCGTATATATGTCACGTGATAGATTGGCTGGGATTTTTTAGAGATTTCTTTGCACTGTTTGCCATTAAGAGCGCTGTGGAGCCCATCGAGAATGAAACTTTAACTTTGGTTTAAAAAAAATTACCGAAAGAATTTATATTTCATAACGAAGTCAACAGAGCAAACATTATGGCGCACAACAAGTTCATGCACCAAATTTGGAACGAGTCCAAATTAAGTTTCTTTCAAAGCTTTACTTCACAACATGAACCACACTAAATGTGTAAACCTTATGCAAAAGTATTTATTATAGCACTGAAACTTTTTCTTATTTATTTATTTGGTTTTTAGTATAAAGGTGCTTTTAAAACTCCTAAATGAAAAAAGGTCCTACGTTTTCCCGACAGAATTTTGTGTGTTTTACATCCAAGCACAACTTTCCTGAAAAGAGAAACACGTTTTTATTGAAGTTACTTTCTGCCAGTAAAATGTTTTCATGTTTGCAGATCCGTTTTGTCTTTAGGTTGTTCTAGCTGCCAAAAACAACAGTGTTGTGGTGCTAAGAGGGAAAAGTCCCGTAAATTGTTTAGTAAAATTTAAATTATGAGAGATTTTTACTTACACCGTCTTGATGTTTTCGAACTGGACATGACAATGAGGGATGGATCTCTCTGAAAAACTGAGTTTACTTACAGGGTACCCACACGCTTAAGGTATTACCCTGCTTCATCTACCTTATGACTCTCATGGGGATCATGGTTTAGAAAGTGAGCATCATGTTTATCTCATAAGACTAGAAAAAGGTGGCTGACAGCATGAACTCATCTGGGAGATGTTTACAGAGTTCACAAAGTAAATCGCCAGTCGACCCCAAGCTGTTCAAGTATTTAAGCATTATTGTATTTTCACTAAAGCACTGCATTATACTGAATAATAGAAGTCTTTAACTTTGAGTAGCATTCCAGATGTGGTTATGTATTATGTGATACTGTATGGTAGACAATGTGCCCATTAAGCATTAGGGCACTTTATTAGAAACTTTATCAAATGTTGAAAGTTGAATGTGAAGGATCATAGTTAGAGGGCTGTGGGACATTGGCTACCAGCTGCTTATCACTAAAGGAAAGAAAGGTGATTCATGCCTTACGTTTTTATCTTCTGTCGTTTTCTGCTTCATGGCCTGATTACAGTGAATTTATGGGACCATACTGTATGTTTTTTGACTCTCCAAGAAATGCATTAGGCACATACAGAGTATACATTTTTGTAGCAATAATAACTGCTCTTTAACTGTTGAAATGGATGTTTTCAGGTACATGATCACATTTTTACCTGGTTAATGAAATTTCCTTGGTATCTCTAACAAAAGGGTAATGATAAGTGGCCCTATCATTATATTTATAGCGACAGTTTCATGTCTTTCAATGTGCTTTCCTATGTTACACTATTTAACATTGT